AAGAACTAATGCCAGATTGCCCCTAATTACTGCAAACTTGCAAGGATGTGTTCGTGTTCCTCAGTAGGAACACGGGCAGGAATGTCTGTTTTGAATCCTATAAATTCTGCAGGTTTTCCTTTAGCCTGGGCAAGCCACATGCATTTATAGCTTGCACCATGGCACTGTCACATCTGAAGAAGGATGGGTATTTCAGCAGCCAACATGAAGCAGAGATTTTTATGTTGCTGTAAAGTATTAGAGATGGTGATAGCCCCATATATCCTTTTCTTGTACCAGAAATTGGCCTATCAGTGATGTGGCAAGCATAGGATAACAAAGACCGAGACGTGTATCACCAGTACACTTATCTTAAGTGCAGGGGAGAGATCAGCTAGGTGCTTGCCTTGAATGTTTACAGGAGATAAACACTTCATCCCTTTGCAGCATGAAGAATATTACCTTTAGGCCCTAACTCTAGAAAGCAACTGCTTGACATTTCTGGCATGCAAGGGAACAGCAACCTTGTTGTAACAACATCCATCCGCCATTGTAAGCAGCAGTTTGAAGTGATCTTGAGACCAGCGTTGTGTCTCAGTGCTGCCCGGTGCTTCCCTGCTGTGTTTGGTTGTTCTCTTACAGCTTGCGACATGCTGCTGGTTGGAGTGCAGTCCCAGATTACTTTGTCGGGCCGGCTTTTTTTCGCGGAAGGCTGTGGATAGAGCATCAGCCACAGGACACTTTCTTGAAGCTACAGGCAAGTCCTATTTTAATTTGGCCCCTATTTTTTCTTGATCAAAGCTGGTTAGAGACACACTGGTGTAATAGCTCTGACCGAGCTCTGTCTTGTAGTCTGTAGTTTTGTAGTCTTCCTCTGATCTCGGAGAAAGAATTATTTTGAGGGTGTAGGAGTCTTCTCAAGCTGGCAGGTCATTCTGTTCAGTCTGTAGTCATCCTGATAAGAAAACACGTGCAATACTGATGGTGCAGAGCTGCTAACGAACAGTTCGTCTTTTTTTATTGACACACAAATGCTGTTGCTTTTCTAGCTGCAGAGGAGTAATGGGCACAAAAAATAAAGGATGCACTAGCTTTATCCCTACCTCCTCAATGTTATATGGAAAGAGTCACTTCTTTGTGGACATGGCATGACAGCATTCACATCTTCCTCCTGTGGAAGACTGCTATTCTTGCATAGAACTGAAGATGAGATATCGAGTATTATTAAACTTCCTGCTCAGATTTCACTCCCTTAGAGCCAAGGTTCATGCCAGTCATTATTGTACTGCTCACTTTTCCATTTATGCTTTGTTGTAAATTACGCTAGTCAGTAGCAATACAGTATTTCTGTCACCTGGGAAATAGGTGAGGGGAGATATTCTAAGCCTGGGAAGAAATAAAGATATGTCTGTTCAAAAGGATGAAGTTTCCTGTACAAGCATGAATCATGAATTGCATATTTTGGAAAGCTTTATCCTTTTAATTAGTACATTAAGGATAACTCCTGTTCAACAGGGCTTACTTAAATGTTCATGGCTTCAGGGAGTTGCATGGGGAAAGCAAGCAGAAAACCTGCAGAAAGTGGCCTGAAAGAATGCAAGTGTGAAAGGAGACTTAGTGTCCTGTGGGGATGCTAACCAGGCAAGACCGCTGCATCAGTAATTCTGTGTACTGTCTTGATTCTAGGGCTGGGAAAAAGGAGTTGTGTTTGTCAATGGTCAGAACCTGGGCCGCTACTGGAAAATTGGGCCTCAGGAAACACTCTACCTTCCCGGTCCCTGGTTATGGAAAGGGAGCAATGAGGTGAGAGGCTTTGGTGGGATTTCTTTTTGCTTGTTTGTGTTATTAAAGATCCTGCTCTGAGTCGTGTCCCAAAGAGCTAGACATATATAGTGTATTAATTACCTATCTCTAGCTGAAAACCAGGACAACAGAGAGGAAGGAGACTGTTATCTCCTAAGATCTGTGAAAATTAGGGAAGGTGCTGCTCTAAAGCTGACTATAGCTCTGACAACCATTAAGACATGATGAGGATGGCAGCTACACTTCAAGACACTGCATCAAGTTCAAAATCAAGACAGACCTGATTTGATGCTGCTTCATTTTCTGCATCGTGTGGTGCTGAAGGATCACAGTTACTGTTCAGACTCATATTGACTGATCTCTTTAAATGATGCTTCCTTCCCCTGCTGTGATCGTATCCCTTTTCCTCCTAAAAATATTTAAAGTAACTGAGCCTTTGCATGAAGGAATTTTATATATCCCTCTCTTCTGCAGATTGTCATTTTTGAAGAACGCACTGCAGGACGGATAATACAATCTGTCGACATACCTTATTTAGGAAGGACCCAGTACGTGGACTGATGAGAGCTTCTTTCCCATGTTTGGTTCACCCTGAATACTCCTGGTTGCATGTCTGGGGTCACGATGGCCCAGGCACTTGGGCACGTTAATTTACACTAGACCCAGGTAAAGGACTGGCTCTTTGGCAGTAAGTTCAGAAGAGAGAATGGGCCCTGAAGGAACCAGAGTCTGCTGTTTCATAGATGGGTGCGGAAGCTCATCCCCTTGCACTACTGAGGACCCACAGCCTGGATGGTTGAGCATGATGTTGTAGACCGTCTGGTGAATGTGGGGGAGTAAAAAGGTGCTGGAGGCAGAAGAGAGAGAGTGAGCGAAAGAACTGAAGCCATCTGAACTGAAAGTTGAGCTCAGCTCTCCAGTGACTTAAAAAATGTGTTATTACTGGCCTCCTCATTTTTATAATTAGATAGGGAGAAAATAGTTGGTGAACACGTGAGTAACCAGGTGTGGAAAACCATTTTGCTTCCAGGCAGAATTTAGCAACTCATTCTGCAAAGAGGCCGTTACTTGTGCAGTTGTTGGAAGCCAAGTTGGTTGTCAAATGACTTTAATTCGGGCTTTTTTTTCCACTGAGTTTTACTATGGAGGTTGTCTCTCTCTCCCAAAAAGAAAAAAAAAAGTTTTAAAAAGTGAAATGTGTTTTGTCGTCTATTAAATATAACATTACGTTTCAGGCCAGGCAGGAATGAGAAACTCCCAAGGAGGAGGTGCAAGAGGAGAAAAGGACAAGTTAGTCTTACAGTGATTCCTCCACCCCTGCTCTCGCTGTGAAGCATCTAAAGATGAAATTCCCCCTTGTAAAATGAGCAGGGATCAGATTTTGGTTGGGATGGAGGTAAAGGGGTTGCATACATAGCTGCAAATGGGAGAGCACATCTGTACTTTCTAGTTAAATTTGCTGTGAAGTCTTGGGATTGTGGGTCCTGTTTTCTTTTTGTCCCTCAAAACAGAAACACAGGATTTAGGAAAACATGATGTGTTTGTTTAACTCACCAGCTCCGCAGTCACTGAGGAGCTGCCATCTCTTTAGGGAGAGGAAGAGATCAAATTCAAGCTGCAAATCTGTTCAGAGTCTCCGAGAAGTCGCTCAGCCCCTGCTTTCTGTTCCAATAACCAGTGGATTCAGGCTAGGAGAGAAACACCAAACGTGCACTGTCTCTGATAATGGAGTTGCGGGGTATTCTGGCTCTTAGAAACCATAATTTTATTTAACAAATTTAAATACAGTTTGTTTAAAACTGAGAACAGACAGTGCAGCTGTAATACACTCCGTCGTGGCCAGAGCTGGTCTTACCGAACATGCGTATCTCTGCTCGTGAGGACCACAGTAGCCTCTGTGCAAGTTGGAAGGGCTCAGGCTTGTGTGACCGACTCTGAGGAGAGTGGAGCGTATATGCAGGGCTGTGTTCAGGACTCGATCCTTTGCATTTTTCTGAAAGCTATTTGCTTCCAGGGAGGGAAGGTTGCAACCCAGCAGGGACTAGAATTAAGATTAGTGAAACAAAGCATGCAGCTAGGAGAGCACATCAGTTGGAAACTATTTAAATTGTACGAAAACTTTGTAGTCCTTTAAAAATGTCTCTTTCCACTCTAGGGTTTGCAGACTGAAGTGAACTTGGGAGGCTAGTACAATAACAGAATAAATCTGCTGGAGTGCAGAGAGCTACTGTTTTAATACAAGATAACAATACCCGTTCCCACAGAGCAGCCAGCAGCCAGTAGCATCAAATGCTGTCTATCCAAGTATAACTTCAGCCAATGCACCCAAAGGAACTTTTTTGTAAAGACTACGTAGCAAGCCTTCTGTGACTGGGAACTGAAAGAATGCAATTTTTCCCCAGTGGTTTTGATATACAGTAGGAGAAAATAACTTACAAAAAAAGATTTCTTTTTAAATATTAGGAAGTACACAATGTCATTAGTCCAAGGGGAGACTTCTGCACTGTGAAACTAACAATCAAATCTATAGCACTTTAATAGTTCTGTGTGTTAGGGTTAAAAATAACCAAGTCTATTTCCAGGATTACATTTTTTCCTCAATTCAAAGGTAAAATTGTGCTTCAAACCTTTTTGAAAGAATTGGGACAGTGGCAGTTGATCAAAGGTTTGACAACAACTATGAAGGGGGAGGTGAGGTTTGGGTTTTTTGAGGGCTGGAGGTAGGGAGAAGGGGTATGTTGTACCTTACTTTCTTCCTCAGCAAGTTTGTCAATCTCAAATACACAGTCAACCAGGGTAGTAGCACCCAGGTTCCTCTTCTGCATTGCTCAGTCCTGTGTCTCTCACTGAGAAATAAAATACAGTTTCATCAGAGAACACCTCTTCATCAATTCACCAGGTCCTTTGATGTTCCAGACCAGGGAAGAGGCTGCTAATGTTCTACACAGATAGTTTTTTGACCTATCTCCAGCCAGTTGCTGAAGAAACAGAGCACTAAGCACAGGATCCCCTTTACAAGGGTGCTGCTCTGTCCGTCGGAAGTTAACTCTCCAACTGCTCCAAGCGTGGCTTTTCACGCCAGTAGCTTTGCAGTAGTATGGCATGACCCTGAAAAAGGGGCTAGGGCTGAAGGATACATTCCAGCAGAATGGTAAATGCACTAAAGTCGGTTTTTATCATTCAATCCCTAGTTTTAAGCAGTTAACTTGATTTTTTAAGAGTGGAAATTTGGCTTTATGTAGGAGCACCCTTCAGAGAATCCTACACCTAATGCTCACGTGAACCATCTCAGAGCTAAAGAGAACCAAGATCCGAGCCTGGATGAAGCATCACTGTATATGGCCACAACAATCTCATTAAAACCCACTTCCAGTTATTGTAGCGTGGATGAATAGAGAACCACATGCTGTAAACATAACTCCATCCAGGAACACAGAGGTATGTCAGAGTGCCTTCCAAACCATAAAACTAACAAAGGGAAAGGAGAGGGAATACAAAGAGGACAGATATATTTAATGGGTTTGTTCTAACCTGCCTTGCTTCTCACTCTCCCCCAAAACCTTCCTGTCTTGTGCAGCGTAATAAACACTGATTTAAGTAGGTTTAAAATTAAGGGCTAAGGCGCCATCTCAGAAGGCAGCTGTCCCCTCCATGAACAGAGAGCTGCTTAGGCTGTTGTACACATAGCCACAAGGTACGTGTGTCTCAGCAAAAACAAGTCATCAGGGGCCAACACACTCCTGTGGGCATTCTCATCCTTGCTTTCAGGTCCTGTAAAACAGCCCTCTCAGTCTAGACTACCATTCCAGCTGGCCCGTGTCTTCAGCGCATCACGCCCTGCATGCACTTCTCCCGAACCGAGCATCTCGTGAGGCAGCCGGTCTTGTACTGAAGTTGATGTCAGTCCTGTATTTTTCTGTGCTTTTTCTCCACCTCCAGAGCATCTGTTTCTGCTCAGAGTCCAGGAGGAAGGGCAGGGGAATCCGGGTAGTTTATGTATGCAGTGTTGCTTGTTTTCAGTCCGCTAAAACTCTTGGAAGTCAGCAGAGGTCCTGGCTACTGCATGTCTGGCTGGTTGTACGCTGTGGAGAGGAGCCTTGCAGGCTGCGCGTGAAGAAATCTTCTGCAACAGAGACACAACCAGCATGTATATTACCCTTCTGCCTCGCTGCAGTTAGCTGCCACCCCTTGGAACTATCCCAAAACCCATCTCGGATTGCAGATCTGAGAGTACTGCTGCTAGGCAACTGGGTGTTGGTGAAAAGCAGTTGTGACAGCGCTGAAGAGCTATGGCCTCTCTGCAAAGCCGCTATATATAGCGCAGCTAATATGCAGTGCAGGCTTTTCTCTGCTGTCTTGCCAACGGGCGGCAAAGGCAGGCCACTGCAGCAGGCAGGGCTCCATCCAGTTAGCCTGAGGGAATGTGCTATAAGAGAGCTCATTACGGTTGAAAATATACCAGTCTACCCCTTTCCTTTGCTGCTTTTACTTCTCTGTATTCGAGAGGAAAACAGAACAAGCAGCAATGTACTCTCCCTTCCAGGCCTGGTTTTACACTCCAATTAAGGGGAGTTGTGCATTTATTTTTTTCCCCATAATGATGAAGAGTGGCAACATGATCTGGGTGCAGATAAAAGCAAACAGCCCATCCTTCATGCTACCAAACCAGCTGCAGAGTGCACTCGGTAAATACAGAAGACCAAATGCACCAGGATGATCAGGTAATTACAGGTGAGAAGCCAGGGCATGAACAAATGAGCAAGAAGTCAGCCATTGATGTGCATATTCTTTCCTCCTTTCCACAGAAGAAGACACTACATGCTCACCTTAGGAAAACAAATAACTCCTGTGGGGTTTAATCCACACCCTCCCTTACTTGTCACTGACTTTGTGTGGTTTTGATGTTGACATAAATTAAAACTCTTCCCTCAGTGAAAGCTTCTGGCTGACTTAAAAATGCTTTCACTGATACTGCTTTAGCTTCCCTCAGGTGTGTGCAGGTGGATCAATCCACATCCTTCACCATTATGCTTTAGCTATATTAATACAGTTAATAAGGCAACCTTCTTGTTTAGACAAGGGTTTAGTTTTTTAACAATGTGACTTCTGCCAAAACTCTCACTCCTTTGATTTCTCTTCTTCCCTCCAACCTCTCACCAGGTACTTCCCCTTTAGCATCTTGTCTTAAAGATAAAAAAATGTTAACTAATGGTCTCAAGAAGTTTTGCTGTAAGGGAAGGTTAGAGATGTGAAAAATGGAAATTGAAAAGTACATTTGAAAGAGATCTTTTTCCTGTCATTGTCTGGTATTTTCCTTTTTTATTGTTGCTTCTCTTTACTGTTCAAAAATATGAGCTCTTACCTCGTGTTGGTCTCTGTTCAGCCATGCACAGTCAGATTTCCACGTTGGGATCTGTGAATCCTTTCTTCCCCTCATTCACCAGCACAGGCTTTTCTGTCCTCGTATGCCAGACTAAAATCTGAAGAAGCCAACAGAAGTCATTAGCTGCATCTCTTCACTGCACTAACAAATATTCTTGCACATTAAATCAATAGTACAATTTAACCATCTACCCTGGAACCTAATGATGCATTCACAGCTGAAAGGAGCTTTGCATAAAACCTCATTTAGGCAGGCCTACCGCTATCCAAAATGTGCAGTGCACAGAAATTACCCATTTTACAGTGTACTGTCTTGGGACATTAACCTGCTCCTTCCATGTAGTTATCAACCATCTTCCTCGGAAGCCTCGTCAACCTTTTCAGTGGTGTAAGGCAGTTCCTTCATAACCGGAGCATCACATGCATGTTTCCCCACAGACCAAGTTCCTTACTCTGGTTCTCGGTTATCATGTTACTACGTCCCTGGCCAGTGTGGAGTTATTTGCTAGGCTCAGAGTGGAAATGCAGATTCTCGCCACTTCAGGTCACATTGCGACTCGTGCCTTAGAGGGAAGAGGCAGTTATACAGAGTACCACCAGCTGCTCCAGTCATCGCTATTGCACTCGATTGTGTGAAATAGTAAAATGAATTTTTCAGTGCATCTCTGAAAATCCATTATTGGAGGGAACACATCAGTCTGCTCCCTAACCTCACCAGCACTTGTTTTTCACTGTTAAATTCTTTCAAGACCCTAAAATGATATGAAAGTGACACTGATCTGAGACGTACTTACTGCTGCTCCAGTTCTCTGTTGCAACCCCTGCTGTCTCAGAGCTGCGAGATGCAGGAGCTAGTTATGGAACATTCCCTTCCTCCCACAGCCCTTCCATAACCCAGCAAGCATTAGCCTAGCATATCACCTCAAAAGCCTCATACACACTTCCTTCGACATGCTGGCCCCACGCTGCCACCAGCTATTCTGTACCAGGTACAATATGTTGCATCGCTTTAAAGCCCCTCTCCAACTTGCTTAGAACCAGAGCTTCTACTAAAAGCTTCCCTCAGTCTTAGCAGCCAAGTTTAATACAGATCTACATCTGTGGAGGAATACTAGAAAAAATGTAAATAGAAGAGGTGGTCTAACATTGTTGGTGGGGGGTAGTATTATAGGTAAATAGCTGCTACTGGCTGTGCTATACTGCTGGCACAGACGGTTCTGGAAGCTGTTTAAAATACTCTCCCCTCACTAGACTCAATTATACTTATTGCTTTGCTCCTAGAACCTGGATTACTAGGAGCAGCTTTATCCCTTCTGAGCTACAGTTTCCTGCTTCCCTTCACCTGTTCGCACTGATATTTCCTACCTTGCGGGGGTTTCCCTCTTGTTGCTATGACAATACTCTGCACACTTAATCCAAGTATCTGCAACCATTTCATACCCAGTCCCTGCTTTTCTGAGAAACGGGGGCACATTCTGTTTCTAAAGGATGAACAAAGCACTTTTCAAACCCTTCTGGTTAAACAGGAGCACCCCCACCCTCCCAAGAAGCTGTTTGACCAAATTTGTCTCTGATGTGAGCAGTCACCTCCTGTGCGGGCCTTCAATCTCGCTAATACTCAGGCAGTAGAGACCAACTGCGGTCTGGAGTGGGTCCAGAAAACCATTTCATTGCTCCCCCGCAACCACTTCAGAGCCTGCTCATCAAAGTTAGCCTTTATTACAGTCCTGCTCACCCGCTGCAGCAACGCTGCTGCGATTACTGCGTTACTTTCCTATGAAAAGGCAAAACCAAACAGGTTTGTACAAGTGGCTCTTGGTGCTATGCAAGCATCAGTCCTGGGGTCCTCATCCGACAAACCGGACGTATAAACCTTAATGCAGTCCGGGTGCTAGAAAAATCTTGAAGCCAATTCTCCTCTCCAGCTGGAGCAGGTAAGAGCTCTTTCCGCTTCTGACAGACAAACGCTCGGCCCTGCTGATGGCCAAGGGCTGCACTCTGCCAGGAACGGGACTCACTTAAGCAGCTCTAACCGCATGCTCCACAAAGAGAAGACCACAACTCCCCATTAGTAGCTTTTCTTTAAACTGGATCCCATTTTTGCATTGTTAAAGCCAAGTGGCAAAAAAAAGACAGTTAAATTAACTAAAATGGACAAATTTTCAGAGTTTGCAGCTTGATACAGCAGCTTCTACCATTTTTCAAGCTGTGTTCTTTAACGTGGGAGGGAGATCACCATTTAGAACAGAAACACCTGCTTTTCCTCTCAGCCAATTGCCCGATTTTTTCCATAAGCAATGTATTTGTTTTATGCCTCAGGGGACCTCTGGCTTGTGCAAAAAGTACAGCTTGCAAGGGAATAAACAGCAAGGGGGACCAAGTATCTGACTTCCCCTGAACAGTGGTTTCATATAGGTCACCTGAGGGTGTCCCCTTTAAAAATCTCTACTACTACGAAACACTTCCAATCATTTACAGCCTTGCTATTCAGAATCACAGGACTCCAAACAGATCTAAGAGATTATAAAGATTCATCTCCATAGCAGATGTCTTCATTGTCTTCTAACAGGAAATGAAAAAGCAAGCAGGCGAGTTGACCTGCAGTTGGAGGGGGTCACAGTGTTTCAAGCACGCAGACCCTCCTTGGAGGCTTTCAATAACTGTTGTTTGAAATGGAGACTATACAATGTGAAGAAAAAGAGACACCAAGCTGAAACGACAGATTTGCTTCCTCCCAGCTTGTGCTAAACCAAATTCTGCAGGCTCTCTTAGGCATCGTGGAGGCCCTCTTCTCCCTAAAGTACATCCATTGGTACAATTGCTTCTCCCTATAACTCTTGCTTTTCTCATATGTTGAGAGAATTGTGGCCACTGCTATTAAATGAGCCAGAGCTCAAACAGTAATCTTCAACTGTGCAATTACACCAACTTGAAGATTTGTGCATTGTGATGGGTATTATAAGCAAAACATAAAAGACCACAAGAGAATAAAGGGTTACAGCAGTCTAATCTGAGCTATTGCAGCTGCAGCATGGATCTGAAGGTCCACCATGGAGCAGTGCAGGCAAACTACTCTGATGTAAATTACAGCTTTCAGCTGTGGTACAGGGGCTGGCCTTGGCACAGCAGTTCTGGTGACTAATCAGGACAAGACAAGGCCAGAAGAACCCTCCAAGTTCTGCATATCTGTTGTAAAAATCAACAGCTCGAGCACTGGTGTGCGCGTGAAGCTTAACCAACAAAGTGCTGTCACATAGCAGCCAGGATACTGAACGCTGCTGCAAACCACCGGTCTCAAACGCAGAGGAAAAGAGAAGCCCAGTCTCAGGAGCAATCTAACCGAAAAGAGGACAGATCTGCTCTATCCACACCCTGCTGCTCAGCCCCTGAAAGGCAAGGAGAACAAAGAGCTGGTGAAGCCGATTCCCCTGCCTGCCGTATGTAGCACCACAGGACAAAATCCGGAGGAAGCCAAGTACTCCTTTTCAAGCCTTCTTGCCTTAGGCTGACATTTTCCCTCTCTCCTGCCCGTTGTGAGCCAGTTTTAGCTGTTTTAGATCTGTGACATCATGAAGCAGCTACTTCTGGTCTCCTTTTGCTGTGCCATTTCCTTGCTGCTGCTGGGCCGAAAGGCTTGCTCTCCTCCACACGCACAAGGGTTTATTCCCCTGCCGGAACCAGTTCCAAGGCCCACAGTGGCCACAGTGTTGGTGTGTGGCTCGGGCACTGCTGGGAGAGCTCTCTGCTCCCCGTTCTCTAGCCTGTGTCTGGTAGCAACTGATTACACTGACTGGCATTTAACCGTGCCCACGCGCACCCTGCATCTAAGCCTCAGAGACAGCCGTTCCCGGTCCAGCACAAAGCTGCCAGCCGACTCCCTTTCACAACATCTAGCTAAACACCGAGCTGCTAACCCGCAGGCTTAATCACACATCTGACTCAGCCAAGAGATAAGGAGAAAGGAGGAATGATTACTTTTAGCCACCACTTCAACCCAGTGCATTGCTACCGAGACCACCTGAGCGCACAAAAGCCTGCCTTACCCAAAGAAATGTAGGTACGCCTGTCTCCCTGGAGAAACACGCGGCTCCAGGAGCAGCGGGAACAAGAGACACCTCATTGCCAATGACCTTGCATTTTGTAGTCTGTCCTCTTGTGCCAGCCCACGCTGAGGCTTTTTCAATAGCTGGGGCCACTCAAAGTCTCTCTCCTTTAAGGGCTCCCTGGTCGAGTGCACTGCAGCTCGTTTCCTTGGGTGTTAATAGAAAATGGGGAGCAGAATATGTCCCAGTTACATCAACCTTACGGGAATACAGAATCTCAGACCTCTATCCTGCGTCAGTGGATTGAAGAGAGTACGGTTTGCTTCTGGGGTGTGCGTGGGGAAATGCAGCAGCAGGAGAACACAGAAATACACAGCACGCTGGCAAAGCCTTGTTTCCTTACAACTCCAGCATAAACCACCCCTTCCCTCCTGATAACGAGGGGTAACTCTCTCCTTGGCACTTACTACTGACTTCCTTAATTTTCTCCTTCATTTTGGGCAGTTCCCAAATCAAAGAAAATAAGCAAGGTTATATGTCTTTGGCCAAGGCTTCAGGTTTTTGCAGGAGTGCGCATTTGCGGGCTGAATTCTGATAAATATTACAAATACCGGCACGGCACACCGGGAAGGCAGCATTTCTGGAGAACAGATGCCTATGCTTATCTTACACACTTCTCTGATCCCTCCTTAATGACTGTATCTGAGCACATCATAATTTTTAATCTAAATCTCACTGCAAAGCACAAGTATGGTTATCCTTAACAGAAGCAAACCGTGACGACTGCTGGGAGCACGCTAGCACAATGAGAAAGAAGCCTGTGCTTTGATCTCATGGCAAGAGGACCCCAGACCATAGCCTACTTTTGTCCTTCTCTGCTGCTTGTCTGGACTCTCCTCCTCGTCAAACAGGTGAGCAAAACAGCAATTGGGAAATGGAGGCTGCTGGCATCAGCTAAAAGCAGAAAGGCAAAGCTCAGCCTGCAAAGCTGCGCTCAGAGTTTGCCAGGAGCAGACAGCATTCAGTTCACAACAAGGACCCTTGTAAGATCCCCACAGCCTAGTCAAAAAAAGAAATGCAGTCTGCTTCAAATCCTGGCCAGCAATTCCTGCTTCCTCTCCATCTCTGACCTGCAGCTCTTGTGTGACAGCACTGACACGGCAGCCTGTCTGACAGCACCATTTTTTTTCTCCTGCCTGGAAAGAACATTTTCCTTCCTCTCCTTCCTCCATGTGCTCCTCCACAACCGTCACTTCCTATCCCCAGCCTTTTAACACAGCTTCTTTCCAACAGTTATTTACAGCAGGGACAATACACCAAAGATTGCATAACTGGCCACGGAGTAAACACCCCTAATCTTCTGTACACCAGCCTCCAAGCAACCTGTGCATCTCCCTCAACCTGCTGCAAACACATTTTTTTCCAGCCAGTGCTTTCTTGTTAGCTAGTAGGGCACACAGTGCCTAAGAACAGAGGTCTAATTTTAATCCAATCTCTCTTCCCACCCTTGGGAGACCATCTGTGTTATTTATCCCAGCGCTGGACAGCCATAACCACAGACACATACACTTAAAAAATGAGGCACAGCAGGTATCAGATAATAAACAAAGCTCCTCTTCCTTATTCCTGGACTCCTTGCCTGAGCATTGCTGAACACTGAGATCCTTATTTCTTCTGCGGCTGGGCGCTGTGGAGCAGCACAGATGGAAAACAGAGAAAAGGGTATTATTCCTTCCAAAAAGGGATGGAGACCTGGGTCCAGCACTGGGCCTGTCAGCAGTAACAGCTTACTTGCAAAAACAGAATAAACCTCCTGGGATAATCAAGCACTAAAGACTCCCTAAATCTGATGGGGTGGTGCCAATAACAGACAAAGGCATGGGAGTGCTACACAGGGGTCTGTGATCTCAGAGGGAACCTCTCCACACCTGCAGAGCTCAGTGGACCCACTTGCAAAGCTTTCAGAAGCACCTGACAGCACCTCCATCGCTGATGTGCTGTGACTGATGCCTGTCACACCAACCAGCATTGTCTCATTGTCTCTCGCACACTCCCCTGTCGTCTCAGATAGATATCCATCTGCTGTCTCTCGTCTTAGACTGGGAAGTCTTTAGGGCAAGAACAGTCATTGTATTCTGAGTTTCTACGTTATTTAACACACAGGGGTCCTGCTTCGTGACCTGGTGGCTCCTAGGCAATGTGTACAGTCAAATAGTTAGCAGTCATTTGACAGCAGCAAAATCCCTCCCACAATGAAGCTTCCTGGAAGCCTCCTAGAACTCAGGGCACTATCCCAGGGATTAAAACATTTCTACATTATCTCTGACACAGAAAGATCCAGGTTGCTGTGGACAACTGCACCAATATTGCGTAGATGTCAAGAGGGAGAAGGCAACTTCGCAATAAGGCGGTGATTTTGCGAACAGTCTTTCCCTGCAGCCAGGAAACACCGTGGCTGGTACCCCTGGGTTACAGTTTCGATGGGTGCCAGACAGCCAAATCTCACGCGAGGCTTATCACAGGAGTACCTGCACTCTAAACCTCCCCTCAGGAACTCACGTAAAGCAACCGGCGTACATTTCACCTATGGAGCTCCCTGCTCCAGGGGATTAGCAAGGCCACAGATAAGCCCATCCTGAAAACAGTAAGAGTATTTTCTAGAGGTAATATGAGAAAGAGGAACAGTTACAGGGAAGAGAAGACTCCATGTTTCAAGGCCTATGATAACCTCTATCAGCCTGCAACCACAAAAGATAACTGCCCTCCACACATTTTAATATGTAATAGCCCATCCCCAGCTCCCTTGCCACAGGGGTGTGTCCTCTTCCAACGCAGAGGACAGGTGACTGAATGGGCTTTCTCCCAGCTCTGGATCCTTACAACCCACCTACGAGGAAGAGACCGTACCTTAGTGCAATTGGCAGCTTTCGGCTCAAGGTCATTCAAGGTCACTAGTTCCCGGAGCAGGCTGCTCTCTTGGTAGCCTCCCTTCACTCCTCGCAGTTTGAAGTAAGCCTGAGATCGCTGGAGAATCAGTCTGAGGTTCACAGCAAACCCCGCCATGTCTATAGCAAAGGGCCGATGGGGGTCGAACACAGTTTTCCAGCCATAGACCTTCCCTGCAGCGTTCACTTTGGGCGACTCGTAGCGCAAGCCACCGACGAAGGCTACTGGCCACACTGACACCTTTCTGGTGCTGCGCATCTGGAGGCAAGGAAAGAGAAGGGTACGGTGGGTGCGCACAGAAGGATCGGCTGCGCGGGACTTCCAACACGCAAACCAGCCCCCCAGCAGAACGACTTCACCTTGCTCGCTGTCCTGCGGGAGACGAATGCCCCTGAGCTCCAGCGCAAATCCCAGAGCCAAGAGCCTGGGCTACGTTCCCAGGAACCCTCTGTGGCTTGGACCAGACCACAGAGCTCATTACTCACCCGTACAAGGGTGCACATCCTGGAGCTGGAGAAGCAAAGCGGTTTGGATTGCAGCAACTAACAACAGCAACAGTAATGGAGAGCCACGGAACCGAGCGTGAGTTCAGCACTAAAAACAAAGCTGCCAATAACAAACATAACTGAGATTTAAGAGTGTTTTTTTTGTCCAAAGGTCTTTAGAGCTGTGAGGCATCAGTCCTCCATATGGGCAGCTGGGGAAATCAAGACACTGAGGAGGGAAGCACCTTGTCCAAGGCCACCAGAAAATGCAGGAGTGGCATATCTAGGAAGAAAGGTGCTTTCTCTGAAAGCTAAGGAGTTTGAGCTGCAATCTCAGCCTACCAGCCACAATAAGGCTAAAAGCATCTTTAGAGTGAGGCACTGCAGCTGTAGCCCACGACCTCAGAGACAGCTGAGACGCGCAGAGTCTCCAGAAACTCCCAGCATGCAAGACAGTGCTTTGTAGCTGCTCCCGCTTCCCAGCGGAACAACGCTGGATGCCTCCACTCCCCGCAGAGTCAACAGAAATAGACAGGAGCCATCAGAGGACACTTCAGATGCTTGCACTTGCCAAGGGAGATGATTTGAATGCCAGTCTGCCCGCTCACCCCCAGCGCCCTGTCCTGCTCTGCTGGCAGGCTCAGCCTCGCGTTCTGCTCTCAGCCCAGTCTCTTAGATCAGGGATCTCCCAGAGCTAATCTCATCACTGCTAATTACTGCAAACGAGACCAGAAGAGCTCTGGCACTTGCCCTTCTGCATCATACACATGCTAACGGCAGCGCCTGTCCACAGGGAACAATAGTGAGTGTCTTCTGCATTTCACAGCACATTTCATTGGCTCCATGTGACCTTAACTGCAGCTACACATCAGAGAGGAGAAGCCTCTGCGAGCAAAGCACACGGGTGAACGAAGAAACCCTTCCTGCTTTATTAATGTGCGGTGTCTGTCTCGGGATGCTGCCAGAGCCAGCCTCAAAGGAGACTGTGGAAAAAAGAATTTGCTTTCAGCTTTGAAAGCATGTATATTCCTGTGGCTATCCAAGCTCAAGTGAAAGCCATCAGGGAAGGGAAAGGGGGCATGTATAGAGCGAATAAATAGGAGATCCCTGGTATGAAAACTGGCAGCTGGTGGGGAAGGAGTCAATCCTCCTTGCTTGTCTCTTGCTGCAGGAGCTTGGCCTCAGGAGAACAAGGGAACAAGTAATTTGTGAGCTGGAAGCCAGGCGAGGTACAGTGTAAGACCACTGCATACCTGCACACAGGGAAAGGCTCGGGAGTTCATTTAGAGCCCCAGCAGGAGTGGAACAAACAGCAAAGTTGGCAAAACACATAGGAACCTTCCCCTGCTCAAGCCTGACAAGACTGTCAGGACATGCTGAAATCCAGCCTGCCATCACAGTTCCTGGGGCCGCAAACTTCCAGGCTGAGATCTCAGCCCCGTCGCCTGCTGACAGCAGCAGGAGCCCTGCTGCAAGAGGAAGAGCTCTGGAAGGGAGCACCGCGCACATCTCCCGGCAGAGAGACAGCCCTCTCCAAGGCAGTGCGTGAAGGGCTCCACTTTTCTGGGAGGAGAATCGAGCACTGACAAGCGCATGCTCCTCACGTGTGCAGCAAGCCAGAGACAACCACACAGAGCATCTCTGAACAAGATGTCCTGCAAGCTCTATGCCTGTGCTGACACCGTTCAGGCGTAACTCTGAACCGGCACTGCGACCTCAGCTGGGGAGATGTGCAGAGCAGGCACCAGGCTCTTGACAGCTACAGATTTTAACCAGCGGACACTCTGGGATGAGAGCAAACAAATGAAAACAGCAAGCAATGAAGAGAAACCCCAGGGACTCCGCAAACAAGAACAAACATGTATTAACAGACAGCCAAGTGCAATACATTGGGGTGGTGGAGAAGAAAGGTGGATAATATCAGATCAAGAATCAGCCAGAAATCTCCTCCAGGGTGGGGCCTGGAAGGAGGATGGCTGAGGTTTCTGTTGCCAGGCACGTGCTTCTGTGCAGGCACTTTGGACAGCAGGCAATGTTCCAACCCCAACAAGGCTCCCCACAGGGGAAGGCAGCTCCTCACTGGCTGCCTTCACAGTAAAAGCTATCTGCCTCCTGACCACATGCCATGGCATGAATTGGGGTTCCCATCACTTCGCACAGGAAGCCTTTGGCTCTGGCAAACACACACTTTGCAGCACAGTAACCAAGCTCCAGAGAAAACTTCAGGACGGCTGCAGTGGGACCACTATAGAGACAAGACTGACCCAGAGAGGTACGCAGCATCTCCCCAGCTCAGTACACAGCACCTCTTATACCCCACGTGCTAATCTCCTGTGTTTGGCCAGTTGAGGGCCCCCAGCAGGGTCTTACCTCCTCAAAGAGCTCCAGGCTGTAGGTGTTATCATCATCAGCAAAGTAAACAATCCCAGGCTGGCTGTTATTTTTGTTAAAGGTCTCTCTCAGCCATCTCAGGGCAAGGTTCCTCTGCATGGTCCCCCGGGGAATGCGGGGATCCCTCATGTCTCCCCGCAGCTTGTAGTTGCGGGGTGTCTCCACGTTGAGGTGGGTGTAGTTAAGCCCCGTGTCCCTCAGCAGCCGGGTGATGAGCGGCGTGCGCCGCTGCGAGTCCTCCACCAGGATCCAGTGCAGGTTTGGCACGTGCAGGAGGGTGTTGGCCAGGCGCGTCAGCTCTGCCTTCTGTACGGGCCGGCTGTAGGTGGGTGTAATGACGTGGATGGTGGGAAGGGTGTCTGACCACGGGGGTGGGCGGGTATAAACATATTCTGTCCTCACCACCTCCACAATGTCCCGGTCCGACAAGCAGTATTCCTTGGAGTCCAAGCCTGCAGTGAGATCACGCCGGGAGTCACCACCATCATCTGAGCAAGGGTATGAGAGAGAAGAAAAAGCTGCATGGACTCAGTCCTCCAACACCCCCCCCGAGTGAGCCAGCAGGCTGTTTGCTAATAGCAGGTCACCCTCATGGTTTCAGAGGAAAGGAAACAAGCTTGGGTGAAGGCTTGAATAAATAAGTACACAAATAAATAAAGGAATCAGGAACTAACAAACGTGAGAAAAGAAGTGCCTGCTGTTAGAAAACCATCACCAAACAAGGCCTGAGAGCCCAGGACAGTGCTGCAGCCGAGTGCTCAGAATAAGCAACTTCAAAAAGCACCTGGAAGAGACAGGCCTGTACAGCAATTAGGTCTAGATAAAGAAAACAGCAACATGGGTTGACGATCTGTCATGCCTCGAGAGGTCCAGTGCTCTGCGCACCATGCTTAGCAGGACAGGACTCACAGCTCTGCACTCAGGCACTGGAGAACCTGGATTGGGAGGCAGGGAACTAACTGGTGGTAAATACCAAGTCAGCGAAGAACCCCCAGCAGCACTGTCTGGCCAGGATACTGCAATACCTGGCTGCTCTCCTGACAGGCCTGGGATAGGGCACAGAGAAGCGGAGAAAGACACACTTCAATCCAGAAATTAAAGCCTGTAATTGTAAGCTTTTTCCTGCAGAGACTTTCACCTGCCTGTGACTAACCTCTCCTCAAAAAGACCCTACCAATTTCTGAAAGTAACAGCCCATTCAGTAGTGTGGATCTGAACAATGAACAGCATATATATAGGATACACTGATCCAAACATATAAAATCCTTGCAAACAGAGACTTGTTCACAATCAGATCAAGGAAAAAAAAATGTTCGTGCACCTGTCCCTTTCCAGGGTGAAGAGATGAAGGGGCATCTCTGTTCAGGATATAAGCCAGCTGCTCTCTAGTGGGCGCATACTTTGAGCCACAGATTTTACAAAACCAGTCACTACCAGGAACTTCAGATAAGAAAGAACAGGAACAGACATTAGATCTGACCCAGCAGGGTACTACCTATGTTTTTTTCATAGCATGTTACTCTTCTAGCAACATAGACTTTGATACCAGCCCTGAACCAAATGACGGCCTCGTACTCCACGGCATTGATGGAGGAGGGAGGGTGTATATTTGGTGGGGAGGAATGGAGACAAGGTGTCCTTATCAGGCCCTATATAAGGCAAAGCACATCAGCATCACATAGCAGAGCTCTCTGAAAGCAGAGAACATTGGAATCAACTCAAAAATAAATCTGCAAAATGCATTGGACACAGACACAAATGTAATTAGCCAGGACGGTGCTTGAGACAGTTTGTAAACCCCTGCAGGTCAAACCCTCAGCTGTAAATCCTGGCATATGTAAGCACTGCCATTCTGTGCTCGCTAGCATATAGATGCACATCTCTTTTTCAGCACCTGCTAGCAGAGGATCTCAGAAATGCATTACAAGAACAAAATGATTTCTCCCAAGAGCTTTCAGGTTGGTCTCTGTCACCACTCATTTTCCACTGGGGGCTCTGAGAAGCAGAGGCAGGGGAAGTGCCTTACCAAGGTCATCGCTAAGTTCGCGACCGAGTCGGAGCAGAGCAGTCTGTGCTGCAACTTCAGTGTCTGTGGCCTTTCACAAAAACCAGCTCCCAGTTTTTAGGGCGTTGAAACCAACTGGTATACAGACAGCGTATTCTTAGTAGTCTTTCAAGTCCTATTTTAAAGCCCAGTAGATCCCTCATCCTCTGAAACACTGTCCACCTTCCAGAGGCGATCACAGTCATTTTTCCCTTAAGAACTGCCCAGAGCCTCATGGGTGGCTGTCAGTCCTCCACAGGGAAAAGTAAAGCTGCTTGGGACAGACTCTGAACTTCTGACAACTCAAACTGCACATCAGACTGTTCAGCAAAAGAATAAGCGGCTGTAGAGCATACATGAAAACAGTAAAATGAAAAGGGGAGAGAACCTCCCAGAGAAAGGGACCAGAAAGTGAAGAGCCTCCCCAGGCTGACCCGCCTGCCCTGGCGCTCGGCAGCAGGGCAGAACCAAGAATGAAGATCGCAGTAGGCAGTGTGGCTTCTTCGAGCCCCCATGAGCTCTCACAGCCCTTGGGTATTGCTGCTATGCCAAGAACAGGATAAGAACCAGGACCCTTCTGGCCAGAGAGGATCCTCCAGAACTTCCTGCATACATCTGATTTGGGCCAGAGTGCTATTTAATGCTTTGTGTGACAGGTGGCGTGGATGCTGACTCTCTCGTAGCATTGTAACTCCACCAAACAATCAGGTGAAAAGCTGACTTTTGCCTTCTCCTTCAAGTGCAAGAGCACCAGTTTGCTGCTTCCCTAAGGACACTTAAAAAATGCTCTTTGCCTCATGTCTCCCAGAGCAGCTGTCTCAAGTGGCAGCTTTGTATCCTCTGCTCTCTTTTTTGCAGCTTTCCTGCTGGACTAACTTGTGTGCAGAATGCTGCAAAGGCCAGCAGGAAGGGACTCCTCTCTTATGGATCATCAGGGAACAACGGAAAGCACCTTCCTTCAGTACTCTGACCAATTCTGGATTTAGGCCATAAAGAGCTCTCCAAGTGCAGTAAGCATATCCCATGGCTTGGAGTTTGATGTCTCTGAAGAAACCCTACGAGCACTGGGCTGTTCCTACAGCAGAAGTGGGGAGGCTTCTGCATGAGCATGGACTGGGAGCTGAGATGAGCATGGCTGCCATGGAGAAATGAAATGAGAGAGGAGATGAGGACGAGGGAGGGATGCACTGACTTGGCATGGGCTGGTTTGATTTCTCTCACCCTTGTGCACTGCAAGCAGTGGAGCAATGGTGCTCTGGTGCCAGACGGTGATTAGTAGTGTCCAGGGCAGAACTATCAGCACGATAGCCAGGATGTCTCGTCTCTTCGGCATCTCCAAGACTGACTGGACCCACAGCTCCTCATTACCTGACAGTGAAAACCCCAGAGACAGAACAGCAGAGCACATGGAGAACAGAAATAAATGGGCAAGAAGGAACAAGGACAGAGAGAGAACGCGAGAGAGGGAGAGAGCAGTGAAGGCGACACGACTCATAGGTCTTACCAGTGCTTACAACCCACCCATTGCAGAAGCAGGTTTGGAGGGGCCTCAGCTACTGGGACCAGGAGCAGCAGGGCACTTCTACAGGACGCTGCTGGAGCTGCCAGCCGGAACCTCAGGGACTCACTTGGAAGGAAACCTGCAACACAAAGCAAAGGTGAGTAGGCAGAGAAAAGTACTAGGGAGCTGCTCCATAGAGTTCACAAATACTCCTGAAGAAGAGCAAGTCCAACTGGGGCAGCAAGCAACAGAAATGTGTCCCACCCCTCCAGGGAGAGATGCCTCCTGGGTTTCCAGAGCCTTGCTTTCCTTTGCATCCACTTGCCTAGCAAGGCCCTTGCTTCAGCTAAGCAAAAACTGCTCAGTTCTGCAGTCTGAACTGTCCTCCAGCGGAAAAGGACCCTTCACCCAAAGCCAGCCAAGCCTCACACTATCACCTGCCAGGCCCAGGCCCCTGGGAGGAAGCAGAGACCGTAAGGACTACCTGACTTGCCTGACACATCAGCAAGCGCTCTGACCCCCCAGACCCTCTCCCTCGGCCAGGCGGAGCACTCAGGCTGACTGCGCCTACACTCCTGGGAACACAGCTCCAGCGAAGCAGCGACCCCGTGTTTTGCCCGTCATTGTAATCCCCTCAGCCCAGGCCATCCCGCTGGCATCTGGGATGCCGCCAGTTTCAACTCAGGCTTCCAACTTCTGTTCAGGTTCATTTCTTCCATCTCGGAGGTGTTGCGACTGGAGTATATTGAACTGCCACAATGGCTTAGTTTGATTCAGTACAAGCACATACAAGATTTAAGCAGACTATATTTTATCCAAGTATCTTGGCAAGCAAAGTACATCACTTAGCAGGGACACACACGGTGGACAGTTTGCGAACATGGGTAGCAGTTTAGCACCACTGTTCCCATGTGGGGGATCGCATTAGCCCGCTGTTAAAAGGGCTGCATTGCAGACAAGGGAGAGCCCAGAGAATCCCGCAGTCGCAGGCGGGGAGCAGCCTGCTCTGGGTCACTGCAGAGCCCTGGAAACTACCGGATCCCCCCTGTAAATCCGAGGGGAGCTCTCTAAGCCTGGGCTGTAGATACGATGCTACTTTGCAAATGTTTTTCCCGAGACCCTTGGAGGTTGCTTTTTCTTGGTTGCACAGGGCAGTCACAGAGAGCTCCAGGTTCAGATCCCTGACTAGCCCCATTTGGATTGATCTGAATTTCCCTTGGCTATGCCTTGACCACGGGGCTGTACAGTCAGCCTCCGGCACTGAGCCCAGTGGAAGACTTGAAATGAAATGGCTCCAAGAACCGACAGGTTGTCCTTTTAAAGGGGAAGTAAGCGATATTGAAGTTGCTGGACAAAACGTGGTTCTTCCAAACCAGCACTTCAATTGCAAAGGTATTAACTTACCAGGGAAAACAAGGGGTAGCGAAAACACAGGTTGGCCTTGGTGCTAAACAGGGACATGTAAATGTCCCACAACAAAAGTTTCAGTGAATCCATTTTTCTTCCACACATACAAAAACCCAACTCATCAAAAAATTGCCAGACAGCTCTCACAAATAGCCAGTTCTGCACCCAGAGGTCTCTCACCAGGGAGAGCCTGCCACGCCCCATACAAAACCTGTGCAGAGATCACGGTGCCATGCTCCACATGTGCCCCCACCCTCCTCTGGCACCACGCACAGAGGCGAAGTCTTACTCAGGAGACCCTTGTCGGAGGACGCAATCAGCAGATGTGCTGGCAAACTGCATTTAGGAAAGGCAAGAACCCAGCTGTATGGAAGGAGGTTGTGGATCAGGGCAAGCTGCAGCTAGTGAAGGGTATAAGAGGGAGAGGGAACAACAACAACAAAGCTCTAAACCAACCACCATCACGTTTGGTTCTCTGGAAGGCAGGGTTTCCTGCAGTCAAGTACAGGGAACCAGCAGGAAAAAGCTTTTCACAGCCCGAGGATATGCTCTGTGCAGCCGGACACCCTGCAGACTTTGAAGGAAGCATCTCCCAGCAACGCGGATTTGTCCCTGTGTTTTTTCAGAACTGGAGAAAGCAGCCTCATCCAGACAAAATAAACTAGGGAGGCAAAGGAGGAATTATTCCAGCAAACACCAACTTTCTGCTGCATCCCTGTCCAGCTCTCAGAGCCAGAGAAATCCCGCTGGCCTAGCACTGCCAAAGCACACAGTGCCCTTAGGAAAGAGCATCTGGCCTCATCCTTGCTGTCCCTGCAGTTGCTGTCCATGCCCGAACACAGGGCACTGAGCGCTGGCATCCTTTGAATTCTCTAATAAAGCCACAACATGTCCCTTGAGCATCCCTGTAGGGTAGAGCCGTAAGAGGCAGCTCTAAAAAGGCTGAACACCTTGCCTGGTAAAGTGCCTTCGCTGCAAACACACCAAGGAATGGACTCGGCCACTGGAGAGAGGGTGCGAGGAAATAACATGCTAGAGTCCCTCAGAGCCAATTCACAGCATCTGGCAAGCTGCCACGGTGGGCTGGCACGCATCAGATGCCCCGTTTGTCAAGGACAGCTTCCTCCGAATACAGTGCTCTTACCTTCAAGATGCTTTTTCCCTGCCAGTCCAGACTCAGATTGTCAGCATCCTCCCATAGGACAGGCTGACCCCGGCCTTCCTGCAATGGAGAATGGGCACCTCTGGGCTGGGGTGCTACTCTGGTTTCCATCCCCTCAACACAGGGCAAAATGAGCAGGCTCTAACGATTTGTGCATTGGTCTCTACAGGATCGATTCCTTTTAATTTGCTACAGAGCACTTTGCAGCTCCCTGGTGAATCACCTGTCACTTCGGTGCTCCAGCTGCCAAGGGCCAACCACTTTTGCCCCAGCAGAGAGCCGCTGGCTTTGCTCTGCAGCTCTGCTTGGGCGGGCGGCAGAGAGCTCCCGGGGACCGTGCTCTCCGCCGAGGGAGCGCCTCCTCCCCGTGCCCTCCTGGGGCTGGCTGAATGCGCAGCAAATTTTGCACCATCGGCAACCGTGCGCTGCCGATGTGAATTAGATGCCCCGCGCCCAGTGGCTGTAATTAATGTTCCCTTCCCTATACACAGCACGCCCCACACGCCCAAAGGGACACGACCCCAGGACGGAGCCGAATCGCAGATGGCGACGGTCGGCTCGGGGAGAACGTGGAGCCACAGACTGCAGCCCGACCCCCAGGTGCTGGCCCACGCTCCTGCACCCCGAGCTGCCTGTCGGCACCCACGGGGCACCGCGTACTCTGCTCTGCAGCAAAGAGATTCGCTCACTGTTAATTCCTGAAGCGGTTTGATTTTATTGATGACCCTGAGAAGCCTGACTGAAGGACATCGTAAGTATTCACTTGGGGCTGCTGCGAGCACTATGAAATCTGGATCCGGACGAAGTATTTCAAGCGTGTTTCCTCCCAACACGCTAATGCAATCGAGGGCCTCAGTGCAGGGTGACGCCAGTTCTCAGTGTAACAAAGCCACGCTCCCACCTCACTGTCACATGTCACAGCTGCAGAAGGTGAAATCCATTTTCTCCTGTGAACAACATCAGCTAGGAAATACATGGTCGCCTGCGATTTTACACTGCTGGTGAGAGAAGTCACAGCTTCACAGCCCAAGGCAGAGGGCTTGCCCCGCATCCAAAACATCCCTTGCTACCAAAGCCGAACGATGCTTTTTGTTGCTGTTTACGGCACAAGTGAGGCTAGCCAAAAATCAGTCTGGGGAAAATTATTCTCCGCTTCGAGACATTCACTCTTCCCCTGCCCCATAATAATACCACTCTCCTTTTCCCACTGAAAATGTTCAAAACAAAACATGGCTTTGTTCAGAATGTCAATCTTAGGCTTCTGCTATCTCCTCCTCCACAGGGAAAAGAAGGAGGAGGAACAAATTTAAACATGAATTAATTAAAACCACCAAACTCTATTTTCCACTACAGAAAGGATACTTTCTTTTTTCAGTTTTAAAAAATCAGGCAAAAGACACAAATCATCAGCTGACATGTAAGCAATTTTGGGGTTAAAATCTTTCTAAAACAAAGGTGTTTTGCGTAGTTTGGAAAGACTTTCCTTGGCAGAAATATATTTTGACACGCCGCAAGCAGAGGAGCTGTGCCACATGGTGGAAGAGATTTCACATCCTCCGGCAGAGGGCAATGGTGTCAAGGCATGACAATACTAAAAGGGCACTCATCTAATAAAAAAGCTTTAATAAATCCTGGACCCATGTGTTAGTAACGTATTGCATTATTAAACGCTGAAGGTTCTTTTCTTAAACCAAGTTAATTGGCATCAGCTCTGACACTTACCATAGGAAACACGGATTTGATCTGCAATCTGGTTTATAGTCAGTTTTACCTTCTTTCTTCCTTTGGGGATGATCAGCCCTAGCGTCATTATTCCTTGCTTTTCCCACATTGAACAGAAGTGATTTAGAACATGTTGAACTAAAGAATTGCTTGAGCTGAATTTGTATATATACATAAGTCACTGGAGTAAAAATATTGTCTAGAGGTAAGAAAAACACACAAAAAACCCCCAAACAAACACAGAAACACTTACTTGTGTTACAAAACAACCAAGAAATAATAAACACACGCAGCCAAATCCTACAACAAAAGCTTACAAAGAAAATAAACACTCATACTTCAGGATACAAAGTATATTGTCACTAATAGCTTCTCCCCCTGGGCAAAATATCCCCTAAACCTAAACACAGGCTTTCATTCCCCTTTGCAATAGCGATTGGTTCTGATCCCTGCTGAAAAACAATGCAGGAGCAGCACAAGCCAGAGCTGGTCCCTCCGCTCAGCCCACCTCAGTCCACCGAGCAGCCGGACCGCAGCCCCTGCAACCCAACAAACCCCTCTGAAGTTACATCCGATTTCACACGCCTGAGCCGCTCATCTTGCACAGGAAATGACCGCGGGCATGCGGGCCTGTGTCAAGCCCATTTTTCAGATGAGGAAACTGAGGCACGGGGCACTGACGGCCCTCCCTTGCACTGACACGGCCCGCGGACACTGGGGACAAGGGCTTTGCCACCGGGCTCCCCGGCCACTTGCGGGCACACCGATGGCCGGCTCCAGGGCCTCTGTGCACAGCCCTGCTCCTCTCCGTGCCGCGTGGCCAGGGACGGGCACGACAAGCCTCTGCC